CGAGCAGCTGAGATCTCTGCACAAGCCGCGACAGAGCCACCGGCATCGGCTCCAGCACCACAGGACTCCAGAGAGGTCCTCCCCTCACCAAGCCCAGCCCGGGCACCAGCAACACCGCCACAAGAGCCCCAGCGCTCACAGAGAGAGCAGCGCAAGCCGGCGTACCTCGAGGACTATGTCAGTTAGGGGGTTTCGGAACTTAGGGGGGAGGGTTGTTATGTATTGATACTGTTTCCCTGCAACACGGTGCTGCCAGAGAAAGGGTGAGCTTGGGGAGGAAAACAATAGACTGGCAGGATCCTGGCAGCCACCAATTAAGATGCATAGATGGTGTAAATAGCCTATTGTTGGGAGTGGGTGTGTGATGGGTGTGACATTTATGGGCTTATAAGCAGGGCTCCGGCTCTGCTCGAGTTGTCCTTAGTTTGACCTGATTCACAAATAAAGCATGAGCTGATCACTACTCGCGTCTTGAACTCAGTATATTTCAAATCACTTCCCCTACAGGCTTTACACAGAGATTGAATAGTATCAGGGATAAGACTGAGCAAGACTCCAGTACCCACCTCCTAAGATGTAACTGTTAGGAACTACTGAAACCAATTCAAAACTCAACTCTTAATCCCTACTTCTATTTCTAAGCATCTTAACAAGAAGTTTTAATATTCCAAATTCCTGTACATCACAGAGTGATCAGAAAGTAGTGCATTTCCAACAAGAGCTGCATGATCCCATATCTAGATAGAAGAACCAACCATAACCACAGTTAAAAGTTCAGAGAACTAGCTTGGATCAACCAAACATTTCCATGGAAGAGACTTCTATTTACTCAGAATGACTTCTTCCTTCCTCCTGCTGCAGCCCAAATGCCCACAGATGTCTTGGAGGACAACTCCCCCCCCACCCACATGAACAGCGCAAGAGGCAAATCAGCAAAAATCACCCCCTCCCTTCCATCCACGTAAATCCTCTAGTGGATCCATGCCATCCTCTGAAAGTACCAGATCTAGCTTCATTTCTGAAGATAAACAGGCCTGGGATTTGGCCAGAACATAGATGAAAGATTGCACTGGATTACCCCCTCACATAATGAAAAAGTTCAGGGCAAACTCACAACTCAAACCTGACTGCAAGTGGGGGGGAAAAGTCAGCTGGTTGGCTTAGACTGAGCCAACTGAAATTGAATTTGATGAAGATGGAGGTCCTGTGTCTGAGTCGAAGCGGTCTGGGGTTAGGGATCCCACTCCCGACTTTTGATGGGGCGCCATTGGTGCCAGTGCCAGGGGTTAGGAGTTTGGGAGTGCTCTTGGATGCCTCCTTAACGATGGAGGCCCAGGTAGCAGCCACTGCTAAGTCAGCCTTCTACCATCTTCGGCTGATTAGGCAGCTGGTTCTCTTCCTCAAACGCAGCAACTTGGCAACAGTGATTCAAGCGATGGTAACCTTGAGATCAGACTACTGTAACGCTCTCTACAGGGGGCTGCCCTTATCCCAAATCCGGAAGCTACAGGTGGTGCAGAATGTGGCAGCCAGGCTTTTGCTAGGTCTCCTCTTGTGGAAGCACATTCAGCCTGTGCTGAAAGCGCTACACTGACTACCCATCACATACCGAATTCGCTTCAAGGTGCTAGTTCTTACCTATAAAGGTCAGGGGCCTGCATACCTGAGGGATCGCCTTTCCCCATATGTTCTCCAGAGAGCACTGCATTCAGCATCTCAAAATCTCTTGGCTCTCCCCAGTCCAAAAGATACCAGGCTGACTACGACCAGGGCCAGGGCTTTCTCTGTGGTGGCTCTGCACTGGTGGAATGAGCTCCTGGAAGATACTAGGGCTCTGCTGGACCTTTTACAGTTCTGCAGGGCCTGCAAAATGGAGCTCTTCCACCAGGCATTCGATTGAGGAGCCACATCTAAGAGATAAATATAGGTTTCCCTAGTGTTGCCAGGGGAATGGCAACCCTAGTCTATCAGTGACTACTAGCCGTGGTGACTGAGGGGAATTCCAGACCCAGGAGACAACGTCAGAGGAAGGTCTCAGCCTCTATGCCCTGTTGTTGGCCCTCCAGAGGAACTGGTTTGTCACTGTGTGAGACAGAATGCTAGGCTAGATGGACCACTGGTCTGACTCACCAGGGCTCTTCTTATACTCTTATGTTTGTATAAGGAAGCTCCCAGGAACCAGGTTTGTAGCCAGGATTTTTTTTTGTTTGGGGAACATTTCAATTTTTAAGGGGGCAATTAAATTACAGTCAATTCACTTTTCCAATGTTACCCCTATTTGTTATCTAAAAAGAGCTGTTCAAGTCATGTCCATGCTATCAAGCATATTTTCAGAGAACTCAGATGCAAAAATAAGAACCCCATTCTTTCCCCATCTGTCCATAGCTTTTGGTTTTCCACAAAATGAGCAACACTGCATTGAGATGATCTTGGCTGCAATCCATTCTTTCATACCATTTAGTATGCAAATGTAAATAAGCTAGTAGCTATCAAACCTTGGTAGTATATCCCTAGTTGCACCTTGCCATAACATAGGTCCCACACAGACAAGGTTAGTCCTCCACCTGATCGATCACAAGCAACCTATGTAAGAACAATACAACACATAAAGGAGCTTTGCCTATAGGGTGGCATAGCTTTCTGATAAGGCATCCAAATATCCCTCAGGACTAATGAACTGACAATAGAGCAACAGAAACTTCCAATGACTAACCAGATGCTCTTTTGACTGACAATTCCTGGATTTAAGTAAAGTGTTATAAAGGAAAACATTTTCACATATCTATGGGAATGCTATGAAGCCATGTATCTGGAAAGTGGCTATTGTTTAATTAATACTAATGCTATACATCTTCAAGGAAGCACTTCGCGTTAATTTCCTCTACTCCTATATTAGAAAAACTTTTCATACTGAATTTCTAATAAAAAGGGGGGAATAAGAGGGAATTTTAAAAAGAAGGTAAAATTAAATTAGATGCACCTTCAACATTTGTTTCTACTCAACTATCATTTTATGCTTTATGGGAAATACACATCCTACTTGCTCTTTCTAATACCCACAGAAATATTAAATATTCAGGTGGAATGAACAAAGTTTGAGTACACTGGCACTTTTAAGACTAACAAAGTTTTATTCTGGGTATAAACTTTCATGCTGAAACTTTGTTCTGCTGCTTCAGACCAACGTGGCTATCAAAGTTAAGCCATGTGTCAAAATCCTACTTTTTGTATATCCAGCAGGATTTTGCCTTGGGACGGAAAGACACGTGCACGCACACACAACAACCTCTACCTCTTTATCAAACTCAGTTTTAAAACCCTTTTGCTGTGAAGGCCGGGTGAGGAGAGAAGCAAGGTTTGAAAGCTATTTATTGTGCAGCACACAAGGAGGAGAGAGAAAATGAGAACACAAACTGAAATACTCCAAGTCTAAGCCCTGCAAGAATGAATTATTTTGTTCTCTGGTTTGTACTCACAGGAAGTAGACTAAAACAGCACAACGGTCAAACTAAACTGTATAACCTTGCTAAAATTAGTAAATGTTGACAAGTGGTGATTCCCTAATTTTGGGATGAGAGATATAATGGCAAAATTTTAAACCAATGTTACCAAATATGTCTAGACAGACAGAGCCATGGTATGGCTTTCTGAGAACACACACACTAAGCCTTCCCCATTACAAGAAAATTAAGTATTTGTGTTTTCTATAAGTAATAGGAATAAGGCTCGTTGTTGAAATAAATACAACGAACTCTAGAAAGAGGCTCTGGGAGAGTGCCAAGGCCTTGGGCACTCATCATCAATGTGCTGTGGCGACCTCAATAGAGTATAATGACACAGAGTCCACCATTTTCTCCAGAGGAACTGACCTCTGCTACCTGAAGGGCAGTTATAATTTTCAGTGATCTCCAGCCCTCATCTGGAGATTGGCAAGAATCATTACCCACGAAGAAATGGCTGGTTTGGAGGGTAGAGTCTATGGTATTGCACCTGTCTGAGGTCCCACCCCTCCTCAAACCTCACCCTTTCCAGGCTCCACCTCTCAAATCTCCATGAATTTCCCAACCTGGAGTTGGAAACCCTATCTCTTTCCCAGCCAAGCATCAACCTGTCATTATCTGCCCCTCTGATTACAGCCTTGCATCTCCTCCCCCTACCTCCTGGAGATCAGTTGTAATTCTGAGTGATTTCCACCCCTCTCCTGAGATTGGCAACAGTGGTTCCCCAGAAGGGAATGGCTGGTTGAGAGGGTGAAGTCTATGGCATTTTACCTGTCTGAGGTCCCACCCCTCCTCAAACCTCACCCTCTCCAGGTTCCATCCCTCAAATCTCCAGGAATTTCCCACCTGGAGTTGGCAACCCTATCTCCTTCCCAGCCAATCATCAACCTACCTTTATTTCCCCCTCACTCTTCAGCTTTCCCTTCCCCCCACACAAACACCTGCAGCCTCTTCTATGTTCTGAAGCCCTGACTGCCACAGAGTCCACCATTTTCCATGCTCTGAAGCCCTTACTGCCACAGAGTCTACCATTTTCTCCAGGGGAACTGATCTCTGCCATCTGGAGAGCAGTTGTAATTCTGAGTGATCACCAGCCCTCACCTGAAGATTGGCAACAATGGTTTCCCAGGAGGAAAAGTAGTCTTTCTCTGCAATGGGGACCAAAGCAGTTTACATCATTCTCCTCTCCCCCTTTTGACTTGCACAACAACTCTGTGAGGTAGGTTAGGCTGAAAGTCTGTGACTGGTCCAAAATCACCCACTCAGCTTCTACAGCAAGAACCTGGATCTAGCAGACCCTGCTCTGAAGCACTGACTGCTACGCCTAGGGCAGCCAACCTCCAGGTGGAGCCTGAAGGTCACCAGGTATCGCAACTGAACTCCAGACAACAGATCTCCCCCCCCCCCGGAAAAAATAACTGCTTTGGAAGGTGGGCTGTATGGCATTCTATTCAGCTGAGGCCTCTCCCATCCCCAAACCCTGGCTTCCATAGACTCTACCAGAAAATCTCCAGGAATCTCCCTACCTGGAGTTGGTAACCCTAGTCAGGACTAGCCCCAATTAGTTCCTCACAAAGGCCTGCAAAGGGTTTCCTTC